TGGTGACAATTTACTCTTATATATATATATATATATATATATATATATATATATATATTTTTTCAAAATCTGTGAATTTCTTTTGCTTATGCTAAGTCTTGACAAAACATTATAAAGTTCACTTTTTGTTACCCATAATGTTGCTAGTGTTAAAATTATTCTTTTTGACTAAAAAAATCACAAGTTGATGTTAAAAATTGACCCCAAACACTGTTTATTTAAGATGGAATGATCTACAGGCTGTCCCTAAAGTCTGAACTTGTAGAAAATTTCATTAACTATATTTTTTTTTTACCTCCACAGATTAAACAGTTTTCTCAAGAGAAAGAATCGACTTCTTTTTCTGTGGTATGCTAAAGAAGGTGCAACACACTTGATTGAATGCATGAAGACTGAATGTGCTAAAATTGATGGCAATGTGGAGTTATTGCATCGAGTTCATGTGAATCTTGCAAAGCGCACCTACCTTTGCATCAAAAATGATGCAAATCATATTGAAGAGATTATTTAGTAATATTCTAGTACAATAAAATGTTGGAAATTTAATTTTGAAAATATACAATATACTAGAATATACATTTTTGCCTACGTGCCCAGACATTAAGGACACCCTGTATTATGACATATCTTTCATTTGTATTTAGATAAATTGTATTTATTTTCAATTTTTCTAGTTGAATTGTTTACATATATTGCATATGATCCATTATTGTACCTAAGTAGGTTACAATAAAATTTGCATTTTATACTTCTTGCTGTACTAGAACAACACATCTGATTGCAAAAGATATCTTTTTGACTGCTTGTAATGAGTGCAAGCAAAGAGGTGAAGTTACTGTTTGCTGATAGAATGAAACAAAATAGATCATCTTACAAGTTCAGTTCTATTATTGATGGTCTACAAGAGTGTGCTGAAGAACAGCAAATCCTCAATCACTCCTTTATTCAATCAATCCAAAGCCCTGACATCTACAGCATATAAGGTTGAATGCTTTGCTTGAAAATTCTCTTCCCAGTCAACACTCTACCCATTTGGAGAACCCACACCGGATTTCTTCTCTAGAAGAGAGGCTCTACTGAGTGATATGTGCTTAACCCTATCACTGGTCTCAGACATCATTTCTAAATTAGATTCCCATGAGGCAAGTATAGGCGAGGGGATTCCAGCCATCATCCTCAAGCAATGTGCTCTGGAACTGGCTCCAGTTCTCACCAAACTCTACAATTATTGCCTTGCTTCTTCCCGCTTTCCAACTTGTTGGAAGTCCTTCTCTGTAATTCCTGTTTTTAAGAACTCTGGAAAACCATTTAACCCCTCTAACAATTGCCTTATTAGACTCCTACTGCTTTTCAGCAAAGTATTCAAAGCTTTCATTCATGATGAAGTGGTTATGCATCCTACCTCTCACAACCCATGCTCTGACAAACAATATGGCTTTCATTTTACCAAGTCTACCGCTAATGTCTTAATGGCCATCACTGAATATGTATATCAATCTCTTGATAATAACGGCAAAGCTTGAGTTGTGGTTCAAGGTATTGCAATGGTGTTTGACAGGGTTTGGCATGCTGGTCTTCTATGCAACTCCAAGATACAGTATGAAAAGACAATTGTCTGATTTAATCTAACTGTGAAATGAAGGTTGTTGTGAACAGGCTCGCTTCCAGCAATTTCACTTTCAAATAGCAATCTGCAATCACAGACCCAGATGTATTAACAAGCATATGTAAATTGTCATTCTGATATCTATAGAACTCTTCTGTTATGTGCTGATTGATTCTCACTTCCAACCTCTGCCTGTATATTCGCCATCACACAGGCATTTAAAATGCTAAATCACTAAACTAACATGAACAGATTTCAGCACTGGTTGAGAAGTAAAAACAAGCCATGGATAGGCAGAAAAATCAAAGCTGTGCACTTTATAAGATTTGCATGGGAAATCTTGTGCTAGCTTCATCAAACCAAAGTAATTAAACATACAGGACACTTTTCCAGACCAGGAATGCTAGGATTACACAATATCAAGAGAATATCTATTTCCAACTGAAATGTAGTTGAAGAGTTCTAGAAGTGGTAAAAATAAAAAATACATAGATTTATAGACACAAATATGTAGTTCATAGGTCATAAAATCATTCTTCACACATCTTTCTTTTTATGTGCCATGTCCTTTCACGACATAGGCGATCATGGCTCTCCTCTATTCCTTGCAGCTCTCAGCATCACAATGCACAAAAAAACAAAAAATCAATGAAAAAAAACAAATTCATTCATTGCTTGAGACAATCAGCTTATATGTAAGTCAGGAATTCAGTGATTGGTTGAGGTGGAAAAACAACTTGCACAATGTTTTCTATATAAAGAGAGAAGTCATATGAGCCTTTATTTTCACTGGCAGATAACATGTGCAATATACTGTCCCTTGTTTTGATGAAATAAGTTGCCATTTTCTTCACCACAAAGCTTCATAATAAATTCAATTTCATACTTTAATTTAGTTTAAGAACAAGTAACTGGGTATTATTATACATAGAACAAATAAATGAAGAATGCTGGAGAAAGGACAATCATCATCATGGCAGGACCAGTATTAATCTCGTATAAAGCAAGGTGGGTCATGCCTGACAGAGGATCTCAGTTTACCTCTCCACATAAACCTGTCACTAGCATCAGTTGTGCTTCTGAAAAACAACATTGGGTCATCCACTTCATCAGCTGTCCTCAACTGTTACCCCACAAACCTGTCTAATAGACCCCATGCTGCATTCAACATGGCTAACTCAGTGTAATCTATGATTGTGCAGCAGTGACTCATGGTTCTCCCAGTCTAGCTTCTCAAGAAGCAAGTCTGACCTGACCTTGTTTTCTGCACACACACTACACGTCCAGTGTATCATGTTCCTGATCAAAGGTGGTTGAAGTCCATCATTGGCAGGGCCTATATCATGCTGGCATGCAGTATGGTAACCATGTATGCAGGCATTGTACACATGACCTCTGGTCTTAGCCAAAAAGGCAATGAGTTGTGAGGATAGACAGCAGGTGGGTAGAAACTGGATTATAAGAAGAAGAAATATACTGCAACTGAGGGAGGTTAGAAAATGAACCAAGAAATATGAGTGATGGTAAAAAATAAAGGATCAGTTATTACATGCACAGCATCTTAAATTTTGACACAAATGTGATCCAAATGAATTACCTTTAATTCGGTCAGATATTTGAGAGGCTTGCGATATTGTAATGCAATATTTACATCTGAAGGACTAAAAATGATTTAATTTTTATTGTTTTGGACAAAAATAAAGGAGGAACAGATTAGCTTTGTTTTTTTTTTTTAATTATAATTTTTTGATTTACCATTTTATGGAAAGTAATTTTTTTTTACCTTGTTTACCCTGAACATATTTGTATAAATTATATGTGGATATATTGTAGCGGGTACTCCGTGCGGCCCCGTATCACAGAAAGGGGTGAACGAGGTCACAAGAGGCCCGCTAACATTTTTGAAGACGTTAAATCTGACGGTGAAACAATATGGACGACAGAACGAGGATATGTATGATATATAGAGGTTTATTCTAAAAGGAAATGAAGATGGTCGGAAACGGTGGAGGTGCTGGAAGCTGCAGGAGTGAGCTGGAAACTGCAGGAGTGAGCTGGATGCTGCAGGCATTGATGGTCGAGGTTGGCAGTTGCTAGGATCATCGTTGTTGGGGGTTGAAGCTGATGTGGGTTGTTGCCAGGATGATCGCTTGGTGGTTGTTGAAGTTGGTTGATGCCAGGATGATCGTTGTTGGTTGTTGAAGCTGAGTCGTTGCCGGTGTGCCAACTTGTTGCGTGTTTGTATTGCCAACTTGTTGTTTGTCATTGCCGGGATGCCAACTTGTTGCTGCAGTTCGTGTTGCCAACTTGTTGTTTGTCATTGCCGGGATGCCAAGAGAGAGAGAGAGAGAGAGAAGAGAAAGAAAGTTCCCAACTATCGTCAAGTTGGCAGACAAAAAAAAATTGGGAGCGTAACTTAATACACAGCCCGTTGATCGGCGCCCCTGGCCAATGAAGGCCAAGGTTCGGCCGCCGACCGAATCTAGGGAGAAATCACTGTCTTGTGACGAGGGAGACCAGCAAGAGAAATTGGCTAAGCTAACCGAAAAGTCTCTATAATAAAATACTACGAGGTTAGCTAAAGATAACTAAGGTCTAAAAATGACTAGAAGTATATTACAACTAGGTTTGTAATATAGCCTAACTAAAAAGGGGATTTGCTAGTCCCTCTGACGTGTTAACAGTGTGTAAGGAGCATGAATGAGAGGTCAAGGTCGAAATGACCTGTTCCTCTGCCGGTTCAAGGATAGAAGGAGGAGGTAACTCCGACAATATAATTTTTAAAAAGTCCTTTTTGAAGACCATAGTTATTGTATTTACTGAAATATTGTTTCCCCATTTACAATTGTAAAAATGAAACCTAATTTCTGATATAATTTTGAAGTAAATACTATATATGTGTCAGTAAATAATTGAATAAACTAGTTTTATATGTATGTTAAATACTTATTTTTCCTAAATACATAATGGTAAGTCAACTTATGTCTAAGTGTGAACATGACTTTACTGTTAATTTCCTTACTGCTGATGACATTATCTGGCGACTCATTAGTTCAGTAAGCAATCTACACTTTAGGCCACAGGTGTTGCAAGCAATCTTAAACCTTGCTGCAATGGGATCATGGTGCCGTGACTTGTAATATTAGGTAAATTTTATTACTGACCTGCAAACTATTTTGTATAGATTGCAAGTTAAATTAAGCTGGACAAAGATATATGCATGATACCTATGAGTCATTAAACAGCTATGATAATTACTGATAAGCTTTCCATCTGACCAGGTTTGAGAATTCAAAGTTTTCCTCCTCCTTGAATGGCAGCCAACCAAGACTGAAGTGCCTAGACTGTCCTACTATTTAATTCATACCTGCAGGAATAAGACATGGGTTCATACCTTTTCCAAAGATGAATAAACAGGTACAATTGGGAAGGCAGGCAGAGAGGAATATACAGCTGGGAAGACCGACGGACAAATACATACAGCTGGGAAGACGGACGGACAAATACATACAGCTGGGAAGACGGATGGACAAATACATACAGCTGGGAAGACGGATGGACAAACTCATACAGCTGGGAAGACGGATGGACAAACTCATACAGCTGGGAAGACAGACAGACAAACTCATACAGCTGGGAAGACAGACAGACAAACTCATACAGCTGGGAAGACAGACAGACAAATACATACAGCTGGGAAGACGGACGGACAAATACATACAGCTGGGAAGACGGACGGACAAATACATACAGCTGGGAAGACGGACGGACAAATACATACAGCTGGGAAGACAAACTCATACACTGGGAAGACAGGACAAATACATACAGCTGGGAAGACAGACGGACAAATTCATACAGCTGGGAAGACGGACGGACAAATACATACAGCTGGGAAGACGGACGGACAAATACATACATAGGTATTTTTTTAGAATTGGTATCATCCCAATGAAATAATGCTACTAAAGCACAAGGGGTTACAGGGTGTGGAAGAATTAGGAACAGAAACAATAATGATGAGCAGAAAAAGAGAGCAATCAGAAGGACACTAGATAGCAATTGACATTGCATTTAAATTTTTGAAGATTAAAGTTGGCATCAGAAAGGAGTTCCACCAGTGAGAAGTGTGAGAGAAGAAACTTTTAGCATAGAATTTATAACTATATTTACTGTAAATTGATGAGATCTTGATGTAAGTCTAGTACTGTACTTAAATTAAAAAATTTTGGGTACTATAGCAAAGAGTTCATCCAAACAATTACCATGAAAGTATTTATAGAAAAGACAGAGAGGCATACTAATATCAGTGGGGAAAGTGACTGAAACCAAGCCCTCAGGTTAGAGATAGATATCATACAAAATGCAAAACGATAATTCTCTCAAAGATAATCATTGTGGATTAACAGATTTCTTCAAGTTATATAAATCAACAAGGACTGCATAATATGTTGAGTGAACTTCAAATATATTAACCTTTGCATTCAGTAAGATGGTGGATATTTTTGAAGTTAGCATTCCTATAACTGAATATTCTCTTCTGAATATATTTGCATTTATTTCTGTTACTTATATTTTATGTACCATAGACATTATTCACATTCTAAACTTCACTGACATACCCTGTACATATATTTCTCTTTTCCACTCTAACTATACATATCTCTCTCATATATATATATATATATATTATATGTATATATATATATTTATTTTAAAAAATTATAACATAAATATGTTATAAAATCACTACAAAAATAGTGATTTTGTTTCAACACCTCCGGTGTCTTATCAAGTGATGATGTTGAATGTAAAACTGTTGAAATAGATCTAACTGTAAGTTCTATTCTAATAGGTTCTTCTCTCACACTTCTCTCCTTTCAACTATGATCTACAAAAGTTTAAATGCAACATCAGTTGCCACCTTCTGTCTTTCCGAATTCTATTTTAATATCCTTCTTTACTAATTATTTTTTTCATTTACTTTCTTTCAGTAACCTCTTGCTTCTTAGTGGCATTATCACCTTGCTTAGGGTGAAATGCCTAAAAAAAAAAAGAAAGCGTTAAAGGGAGGAGGAAAGATTTTAAAAGCAGGTTTTGCTTATTAGATTTCAGTCAAAGGCAAGCAAATTGTCATCTGAATGAAGAAAGACATTTTTCCTTCAGTTCTCATAGGAATATTGATTTGAGTTTAATGAGATTTCAAATGTCAAAAAAATGTAAACAAATAATTAAGAAACCCAGCAAAAAAAAAAAAAAGAAAAAAATCATGACAATATAGGCCATACACAAAATGGCATTGTTTTTCTCCTTTTTGCATTGTTTTGCAGAAAGCAAATCCATCTTGAATATTTGATAAGCTGTCAACTAAATTTTTTTTCTTATGCCATTAATTGTTCTTTCCTTCTCACTGGCTTTCTGCAAAACATAACAGAGAATAAAAGATTATCCTCATTGTATTATCTGTGACGAAAGCAATGGTTTGCAGCAGTTGAGGCTTCATCATCAATTTCTGACAATCTTCTCCCCAAAACTGTAGCAATAGATTTTATGGAAATTCACAAATGCTGAGGATTCAAATATTAGAGGAAAAATTTCTTATACATATGCATGTACCCTTATTCTCCATCAAAACCAGTGTTTTCAATTGTCAATTCTATGAAATAATTTCAACAAAAGAGAAATAAAAACAAAAAAAGCCAAAAAAAAAAAAAAAAACAGTTTCCCATATCATTCTAATATTAGGCATTGTTGTTCTTTCATATCTGAATGGCTGGCAATTGTTGTCACTTCATTATAATATTATTACAAAGGAAAATAAAATTGTATATATTTGTGTATGGCAGAATTAAAATTTTCTAACACTGGAGTAAATTTGAAATTCATATCTATACATATATACTTATACCAAATATGCCTCCTGACTGAAAGTCCATTTGACATAGCTTTTTAAATATTATTCCAGTAATTACAAACTATACATTTAGTTATTCATGAAGTATAGCTTTGTTTTGATACTAGGCTACAAATATGGGGCTCCCAGTGAGCTTCCAACTACTTGGAAGTAAGGATATGTAAAACTATCTCACTAACCCTTACTACACAGCGATGAACCCATAATTTTTATAGACAGATACACAGACAGACAGATAACCATATTTGAGTAGATGCTCTGTATTTAAACAGTATTCATCTACCAGTCAGCCCTCCAAGTTTCTTTATGAAGTTGTCTTGAGTGTGAAAGCCAGAAGATAAATTAAACACTGTTTAAGTTAACAGAGTGTCTATACAGATATCCGCTAAAAATATCATTTGAATTAATGAATATATGTCTGATTAAAAATAAACCCCATTATTTTTTTTTAGAAATGTTTATATAATTTTATATAAAAACTATGGTCCAAAGGTTTGGGAGAAACATTTCAGGTTTAATAATGAGTAAGTTTCATACTTTCTTTGGTTTAATTAACTCTCATATCATTAGTGCATGACATCCAATTTTTTAGAGATGGGGTTACCTAAAATTTAAAATCTGTCAGTCGTATTCATCATTAGCATTGGCCAGCAATATAGATTTGGTATAAGACCTAAAATTTTAAGAAAACTTTATGCAATAATGAATTAATTTTGTTATTACAATGTATAAAAACTCTTTAGGAATATAAAGTCCCTCTGGCTCAAAGTGAGTTAGTAAATTAGTTTCGGAAAAGGTATGCAACCTTAAATTTTTAGGCAAATCTTTCAAATCCAAAGAGTGGCTCAAAACTTGTGTGTGTGTGTGTGTTATTATTTTGTTTGTTCATCTATATGTACACTTATTACACTTTTCTATCTAGAATCAGAATTTAGTGCTTACCTGATCTTTAGTCGTTAACTGGAATCAATTATGCTTTCTGACCAAGAAACATAAATAACAGTAATAATAGGCATGAAATTAAAAGCAAGGGAGAAGAAGAGACCAAGAATTAGGATGAGAAGAAGCAAAGGTAAGAAATAACGAATCAAAAGAAAAAATTGCAATATATTTTCTTTGCTTTCTTTTTAAACCACTTGCTTGTGGTTTTCTGAGAGACAATCTGCAGTACATATATTTCTGTAGAAGCATCAATAGATTATTTCTAAATGTCAATTATTTGCAATGAATTTCTTTTGTAAACTGGTTTACCAGATATTTCTAGAGAAAATTTATTGCAATACATTTCTATGGCGTATCACTTACAATGATTTCTTTGTATCTATTGCAAACTTCTATAATGCATAAGTTACAATTCATTTCCATAGAAAATTTATTGCAGTACATTCCTGCCATGCATCACTTAGAGGCAACTACTACAGAAGATTGATTTCAATACCTTTATATATTATATCATTTTCAGAGCATTTTTGTTACCGTGCATTCCCACAAAAAATTAGTTCTAATGATTATGCGAAAAAAATAAGCAGATCCAGTCTCCTCTCTTACTTGTAACCATCCGCTATAACAAAATAAACATTTTCAGAAATAAAGCTGAATTAGTCAAATAAAGCTTCATGAGTTTCTTATTGTTATATTACAATGGAAATAATTCAGATTGTTGTTGCCTAACAAAACATGTCAGCCAGTAAATTCTTCTTCTATATGGCAATCATGACTCCACAAATTCCAGTCCTCTGCAGCTTTTAATAAATTTTATCTTTTTGTTAAACACTGTTCTGACATCCATTTGCTCAACCTTGCTATATAAGTTATGTGTTGTTTTCCTCTGTCTAACTTGACTTCAATCTGTCCTGTGAGTATCAAATTTTCCAAGCCTGTAAATTAGTGTAGTTTAAGGTGTCTGAAGGTGAGCAGACAGTTTCAAACAAAGCACTCAGTATGAAAAAAAAAGAGCAACAATAGTAAATAGTTAAATAAAAATGCAAAAGACTTACTTCCCACTTCAATTTTTACAGATACACCACTTGATGGGGTTATGATAAATCTTAAATTAAGAAATGAATTTGTTCTAAATAGACTGTTGTACAATTCTGTAAGAAAAATGCATAACTATTAAACTTATTAAACTTATAGTTCTTAGAAGGGCGGTCAATATGTCTTTATAGGTCTAAAAGGAAATGAAGATCTCTTCCTATCAATAGATGCATATGATGCTGCAGGAGTGCTGATATCAGGAGTTGAGCCGGATGCTTTGGGAGTGCTGGATACTGCTGCAGGCATTGATGGTCGAGGTTGGCAGTTGCTAGGATCATCGTTGTTGGGGGTTGACGCTGATGTGAGTTGTTGCCAGGGATGATCGCTTGGTGGTTGTTGATGTTGAGTGATGCCAGGATGATCTTTGTTGGTTGTTGAAGCTGAGTCGTTGCGGGGTGCCAACTTGTTTCTGTAGTTCGTGTTGCCAACTCGTTGTTTGTCATTGCCGGGATGCCAACTTGTTGCAGCAGTTCGTGTTGCCAACATTGTTTGTCATTGCCGGGATGCCAACTTGTTGCAGCATGCCAACGTTGTTTGTCATTGCCGGGATGCCAACTTGACGTGTTGGGAAGGAAGAGGGGAAGAGAGAGAAGAAAGAAATTTCGGGAACTATCATGTCAAGTTCTTTGCAGGAAACTTAATAAAGGAGATGCCCTGGCCAATGAAGGCCAAGTGCTAGACGACCGTTACACAAACTTGGGAGAAATCACGAGGGGGAACATCTAAGCTAACCGAAAAGTCTCTATAAAAAAATACAAAATGGTCTAAAAATGACTAGAAGTATATTACAATATATATATATGATATATGAATAGGTATCGAAATAAC